TTTGAACTGAAAAATGCTATGTGTGCATGTGCGTGCTTGATAAAATATCTATCGGTATAACATCATATATTTTTATTGCTCTTGCTCATATGAAACCGAAATTCTAATTACATTTTATTATTGTAGCTTTTGACTGATGAAAGCAACTTTGGAAACTATCGCTTGAGTTTGCACGATCTTTCTCAGTACATGAAGCTGGACGCTGCGGCTTTGCGCGCATTGAATCTATTTCCAGGACCTCAAGATGGTATTACATTTAATGATTAAGACCTTGTTTCTGTGATGTCTACAGAAAATCTTATCGTAACACTTGGGGAATGATTATAGGTTCCAATAAATCGATGAGTCTTTATGGTTTGCTCAACAAGTGCAAGACTGCTCAAGGATCGCGATTGCTTAGTCAATGGCTTAAACAACCATTGGTAGATTTAGCAGATATTGGTACGTAATGGCGATTTATGTTACACGTCAAAATAAAAAAACCGTCCCTATTGAACACTCATAGACCTGTAATTATATACATTCGCCAGAACGAAGACAAAACCTAGTTTCAATATTCGTTGAAGATACCGAACTCAGACAGTCACTTCGGGTATGGCGATATTGATATAGATAATCCACAAATGATCATACCCTCTACTGAATATTAGTATGCTTGATATCACAACCAAATGCTCTGGATAATACAAACCTACTACTATTTTTGTAGGAAGACAATTTAAGAAACATTCCTGATCTACATCGCTTAGCCAAGCGTTTCCAAAAAGGCATTGCGTCTTTGCAGGTCTGAATATAATGTTGTAAAATTTTCTAATCTATTTGATAGTGTTTCTCACGTTTATGTAATCTACAGGATGTAGTACGTGTGTATCAAGTTGTCATACGGTTGCCTGGACTTATTAATGTACTGGACAGTTATGAACCTATTTATGAATCGCGCAAAGAGCTTGTAGAAGAAGCATATATATCAAAGCTAAAAGTGAGATGTCTTGATGCATGCGCTGTGTCCATAATGCAATTTATTCATTGTTTTTGTTGTTTTCTAAACATTTGAAATTGTTTTCATTACCCTACTTTATAGAAACATGCAGAAAGTCTGGAAAAACTTCAAGAAATGGTCGAAACAACTATTGATTTGGAAGCCATTGAAAATCACGAATTTATGATTAAAGCCGATTTCGATGAAACTCTACTAGGTTTAAATTTGATTATCTGATAGTTGACTTTGGCAATGTGTGATCTAATTTCATTTATTCGTTATTTTAGCTATAAGAACTAAACTTGATGAAATTATGAGGGAGATGAGTCAAGAGCATCAACGCGTACGTGTTGATTATTTGGGTTTTCTTTGATTGCAAACTAATGTTAATTATCTTACAAATAGGTTGGGGACAAGCTCGACATGGAGTTGGACAAAAAATTACACATGGAGAAGCAAAATGTATACGGATACTGCTTCCGACTTACGCGTAATGTCAGTAAAGAGATTTTTTATATGTTGCGGAAGATTGTTTTTCACTAAAAGTGCTGACATTTGACGCGTCTACTGAAAGGATGCAAGTTGCCTTCGTGGAGCCAAAAGTTTCATAGAGCTAACTACTCAGCGAAATGGCGTTTATTTTACTACTGGAAAGATGAAAAGCCTGAGTAGTGCTTTTACTGAATTATCAGAAGAATATGAGAAAAAACAGATAAATCTGGTAAAGGATGTAATTAATATTGCCGGTATGCTTTAAGTTATGTCTTGCGTAGGTTTACAATTTATGCATTTATAAACCTCCGACTTCGTCAAGTGAGGTTGTAACAGTCACACGTGCTGTTACAACACTTTAGAAATTGGAAACACACAGGCGTAAGCTTTAACTAATATGATTGATTTTTCGTGATTAGCTACTTACTGCCCTACGTTAGAAGTGCTCAATGGTGTTCTAGCACATCTGGATGTGATAGTCAGGTAAGTGTGTATTGGTTAGGAAGGGAAAAAGAACGGAGTATCACCTTTGCTAATGCGGACATATTGTTAAGCTTTGCGCTTGTTGCCGTACAAGCTCCAATAACTTTTGTTCGTCCAAAGATGACCGCAAAAGGTAAGCGTTTACTTAATATCAATCAACTAGATTCCACCTGCAATAATTTGCCGACTAGTATAGTAGCCTAATTCTTTACCTTTATTTATTAAAGGCTGTGGTAATGTTATACTGAAGGCTGCTCGACATCCATGCTTGGAAGTACAAGACGATGTCTCCTTTATTCCGAATGATGTCCAACTGATTAGAGGTAGATAAGATTGATGAAAGAGGTTACATTCGTTTTCGATTGTGTTATTAATGATATTTCGATAGGCGAAAGTGAATTCCAAATAATTACGGGTCCTAATATGGGTGGCAAGTCGACATACATTCGTCAGGTGGCGAAAAATCCTAGGTTAACGTTTGCTTATAGATTAACCAACACAGAACTCATTCACAAGTTACTTGTTATATTAGATTGGAGTTATCGCTCTTATGGCTCAAGTGGGTTCATTCGTCCCGTGTACTGAGGCCAGTTTGTGCGTATTTGATTGCATCCTTGCAAGAGTAGGCGCTGGTGATAATCAGCTCAAAGGGATATCGACCTTCATGGCCGAAATGTTGGAGACGGCAACAATTCTGAGGGTAAGTCATTAAAGTTTACTTTTCGAGAGTTCGACAACGATTACAACTGAATATGTATGCACGTTTAGACTGCAACTGCAAATTCGTTGCTAGTAATAGACGAACTTGGTCGAGGAACAAGTACATCCGATGGTTTCGGTTTAGCTTGGGCAATTTCTGAGTATGTATTCATGTTTGACTTTTTAGCATAGCATATGTATATTCACCAATTATTTGAACTTTTCTTTCAGGTATATTGCGAAGCAATTACGGTGCTTTTGCCTTTTTGCAACACATTTCCATGAGCTCACTATGCTTAGTAAAGACGTTCCGACGGTTCGTAATTTACACGTGACGGCGCACATAGAAAAGACTGTCTCAGGAGATAGAAGCATTACTTTGTTATATAAAGTGAATGAAGGTAAAACGAACAGCTATGTCGCAGACTGTTACGAATTTAATACTCATCGGTGACTAATCTGTAGGTGTATGTGATGAGAGTTTCGGCATTCACGTGGCAGAGCTCGCCAACTTTCCTAAATCTGTTGTAAAGGTATAAAAGCTTACGACTGCTATCTTATACTGGATTGGTTACTGATATCAACGTATTATTAGATTGCGAAAAAAAAGGCCGAAGAACTGGAAAATTGTTCTAACGGTAAGATAGATAAAGTTCATACTGCCTGCGTCTTTATGGAAACTCATTATTATCTATTTAGATGACGCGATGGAAATTGACGGAGCGGAGACGTCTGGGAATCAAGCAGAGGTATTTTATTGGCATGTGAAGGCTTAGCATCATTATCGTGCAAGTTATTCGCTTTAATAACTTGTCCTTTTGTAATGAAGCGGGAAGATCCACTAGAGTCAAACCCAATACTGAACCAACTTTTTATGGAAATCGGAAATGATGATTCTGAACCCGCAGAACTCGAATCGACACTTAGTCGGCTGCAAGGAATCAAGGCTGACTATCAGAATAGAGTCCAGAACGATATTAGTTGCCAAGAGATGATCTCTGCCGTAGGTGAAAGTGAATGAGAAGTTGATTCAGTTATGTGAAAACTATATTGGATTATAATAAGCTAATTACAAAGTATTGTAAATACAATTAATAAACGAGTCCCAAAGACCCATTCATGTGAATAAATGTTGCAATGATGCATAGCATATGCTCCTTCATAAAAAGTCAATTGTTTATTTTATTAGTAATAGGTAAGATACCATACATAATGTGAGGATTTGTAATTGTGGAAACGATGTCATCTATTTACAGAGTAGTAATCGTGAACTATAGGATGTACCGGGCGTAGTCGACGTAGTTGGTGTATTATAGGAGTAGAAGGTGGTTGTAGTATTATCCTCGTTCATATCGATGGTGGGCTTCAATTTTTCCGGTTTATCTTCGAGAGAATTAC